CCTCCCGAGTGCTGGGATTAAAGGCGTGCACCACCACCACCACCACCACCACCACCACCACCACCACCACCACCCGGCGAAACTCACATTTCTAATTTGTAAAATGGAATACTATCACCTAGATCAAAGTATGTAGTGCGCCAACACTTAGTTCACGGCCTGTCACACTGTACCTGTTCAGTAAAAGGCAGTAATTGGGGCTGGAGAGGAGGCTCAGGAGTTAAGAACACTTCTTACTCTTGCAGAGGACCTGGGCTCAGCTCCCAGAACCTATGAGGTGGTTCACAACCATATGTAGCCCCAGCTCCAGGGGATCCAGTGCCCTCTTCTGGCTTCTATGTGGAATGCATGCATCTGGTGAGCAGGTCTACAAGCAATATATCCCCCCCCCACAAAATAAAAATATTCTTTTTAAACAGTAGAAATTATTATTTTTACTCAGGTTATTGTTTATTATAATCTCAAATTCACCCTTTAATCTTTTCCCAACATTCCCACAGATGCTGACAGTCTTTGGGAAATTATTCACGTAGTAGTGAAGTCAAACTATGTGTTAAGTCTCTGGGAAAACAATGTCTACATTAGGGAGGACCAACAAAGAAATAACTGTAATTCCAACAAACAGGAGGTATGCCATGAAAACGAACACCAGGGTTGTCTAATTCAAGAAACCTTTGAAAAACTGTTATTCAAACAGTGTCCTGAAATATGTGAAGACATTAAATAAGAAAAGACAAAATAGGTAATTGAACATACTTATATTCTCAGAGACAAAAGAAAACAGTGAACTCAAAGAACTGGAAAACGACCTACATGATCTGAATAAAGACATCCACGGGAAAGGCTTGTTAGACTACATGTAGAGACATAAGCAGGACCATATTCTCCAGGTCAAGTCAACAAAGTTAAAGACTATAAGTTTTCCTGAAGGGCAAAAGAGGCCACTAAGGTGGTTCCTTTTTTTTTTTCTTCAAGACAGGGTTTCTCTGTGTAGCTTTGGTGCCTGTCCTGGATCTCAATCTGTAGCCCAGGCTGGCCTCGAACTCACAAAGATCCACCTGCCTCTGCCTCCCGAGTGCTGAGATTAAAGGTATGCGCCTTTGCTGCCCCAGCTAAGGTGGTTCTGAGGGAATTCTGCAATTGAAACACAATGTTGAGATTCCCCAGAAGAGAATATACTTGAGAGGTCAAGACTGAACCTAGGGTGGCTGTTTAGAAGGTGTTCTAGCTTGTTTTCCATCGCTGTGATAAAACACCATGACCAAGCTCAATGTAGTGGCATACACTAATTCTAGCACTTGGGAGGCAGAGGCAGGTGGATCTCTGTGAAACCAGACAGGTCTACAGAGAGTTCCAAGATAGCCGGAGGTACATAGTGAGACCCTGTCTCAAAACAAGACAAAACAAACACATAAACGCCAAACAAACTATAACAAACAAACAAACAAACAAAAACACCCACCATGCCAAAAGGAAGGAAAGGGTTTAGTCGCCTTATACATTCTGATCACAGGCCATCATGAAGGGAAGTCAGGGCAGGAAATCAAACAGGACCTTGGAGGCAGGAACTGAAACAGAGGCTATGGAGGAGCACTACTTACTAATTGCCCCCCATGGCTTGCTGAGCTTGCTTTCTCATCAGCTTTAGGATCATCTGCACAGGGATAATACCACAACTGGGCCCATCCACATCAGTCAGGAAAATGTTCTACAGACTTAATAGAGGTGTTCTCTCAATTGAGGTCCCTCTTCCCAGATTAAAAACAACAACAAACCAACCAGGACAGAAGGTCTTATTGATTCCAAGTGAAACAAGCCACGACAAAAGCAATCTTAGTAAGAAGACAGAAAAACAGATCCATTTAAGAAATTTTCGCCGGGCGGCGGCGGCCGCCTTTAATCCCAGCACTCAGGAGGCAGAGGCAGGCGGATCTCTGTGAGTTCGAGGCCAGCCTGGTCTACCAAGTGAGTTCCAGGAAAGGCGCAAAGCTATACAGAGAAACCCTGTCTTGAAAAAAACAAAACAAAAACAAAACAAAAAGAAAACAAAACAGAAATTTTCATTAATGGAAAAGAATCATATTGAGGGGAGAAAAATCAATGAGATGTGGCTATATCTCATGAAAGCCTCATCTCAAAAACAAATTTGTTCAATAACATGTATCTATTTTTTTTTTTTTTGAGACAGGGTTTCTCTGTGTAGCTTTGCGTGCTTCCTGGATCTCATCTGTAGACCCAGGCTGGTCTCGAACTCACAGAGATCCGTCTGGCTCTGCCTCCCAAGTGCTGGGATTAATGGTATGTGCCACAACTGCATGTTAATGTTTTCATTATCCCCATGCTGAAGATCAAACCCAATGCACTGTGCATTCTAGGCAAGCATGTAGCCCCCGACCTACACCTCTAGCCCCTATAATATAAAAAAACCACAGTCAACTCCACATTCCTAAAGCAGTGCACAGAGTTAAAACTTAAGGGCATGAGAAATTTATTAAAAGCCTTTGGTAGGCACAACACACAAGTTTAACATACCGAGAAACTATTTTGGATACCACATTGGTTTATGGACAGTAATTCTGCAGTAAAGATCACTTATCTTTTAACTATTAGGTTAGTTATGAGATCTACACTCGGTTTGAATTTGGAGAGAGAGGGTGTTAATTAGAACACTTCCTTTTCTTGGTGTCACCTTTTGATTCTGAAAGGAAAAGGCTAATTTTTCATCTGTTCCTTTCCCTTTTTAATCTTGTACATAAACCAAGCAAGAGGATTTTATAAATAAAGCAACAAATACATAAACTCTGATACCGTCATAAAAATTGTTCTGGAATAAACACTTGCACATCACTTCCTTCTTCAATAGAACCTACCAAACATGCTTCACTCTTCATTGAGGACATTTGTCTCCAATGTAGCAATTACGAAGGTTCTGCAGTAAGTTGGCAGTGACAGTGTGGGGGTCTAAGAGGTCGAGAGCAAGTATTTCACACCTGCTCTCAATTCTCCTTATCACTCCATCACTTATCCCATGACACTCGAATAAAACAACTTGTTAGAATGGCGTGCTCCGTAAGACGGCGCAAAGCAAAGATCTGAGAAGTCTGCATGTATGTCAAGTCTTTGAGCCTTGCCACACAGTGACTTCTCCAGGGAGCATTTCACCTCGAGCTGTTTATTTCACACAGGTCCTACACTGGAATGCTTCCCCACTGCTCTGGCTAAATCCTTCACGAGTACCCTCTAGCACCGCTTTCTCTTCATTCGAAAGGTAGTTGTTCGCAGTAACAGGACATTTAATGAGCACTGACCTTCTGTCTGGTAGCGCCCACTCTCTGTTCAGATCGAATTCGGCTTTGCAAGTGCTCATTACGTGGAAAGAGGCTGAGGACCTATTATAACTCTGAGGTGGGAGCTGAGAACCATGACCAAACCAAAGTGTTAGCGTCTATCCTTAGCTCGAGGGTGAAGAAATGTAACATTCAACTTCACGGTTGGCCAAAGGGACCTACCGAACAGTAATGAAGACATCCTGACAGGTGCAGGGGCTCTGGGGTGTATGCAAGAGGGGATTCAAATCTCAACTGCAAAATCTACCTTGCCACAGTCCACCTCACTTTAGTTTTCTATCTGCTGACCTATCTCCGCCACAAGTCGTGGTGGAGGCGACAGGTTCCAAAGGGATACAACAGTATCTTTGCCCTCCGACTTAGGAGCAGAAACTCACCAGTTTCATATCGGACTTTTGGTTGTTCAGTACCAGTCTCTTCACGTCTCAAAGCAAGAAAGCGTCTTCCGGTTCAACCTCCGTCGCCGAGAGCATCGCGGGACTTGGAGTTTTCCCTTCTCACGCACTTTACGGGAGCATCACGGGAAATGTAGTTTTACTGCAGGCATTATGGGAACTGTGGGCGTCTTTCCTTTTCCTCTCTTTTCTCTCTAAACGCCTCCTTCCGTCTGCTTAAATGCATCGCCGCCGCCAATTCATCCTTCCTTTCCATCCCAGAATGATATCATGACCCTCATCCCAGTCTGGAATCCATGGTATTCTGGGATATGTAGTCCGCACGGCTCCAGTTCCCGGCTCCCCTCCTCCCTGTGGGACGGCGTATGGGCGCAGTGCCTGATGGAACCTGTAGTTCCCTGGGGCCTCAGACCCTGAGCTCTGTGCTTTTCCTCTAGGGAGCCAGAAACTACAACTCCCAGGGATGCCCGGCGGCAGCAGGTGGGAGCGGGGCTGTTGCTATCAATATGGCGGTTGTCAGCCAGACAAAGACAGTCAGTCTGATGTGATTGAGACAAGGGAGGTTTTCAGGGGGAGACTGGGAGATAGGGGGCTCCCCTCCCCCCTCTGTTCTTCCTGCGCGGGCCTGGAGCCCTCCTCAGCCCCTCCCGCCGGGCGCCCCGCGGTGAAGATCCCCTCCCCCCCCTCCCGTCTTCCTCCTCCCTCCCTCAGCCTTGCTCTGGGACGCTGGGGAGGGGGCTGAGCCGGGTGCCGAGAACTCAGCCGGGTTTCCGAGGTGAGTGGGGTCGTTTGCGATCCGGACTGCCTTAAGTCTCTTTCCTCACTTCTTTCCTTACTTTAAGGGAGAAGAAAAAAATGTTTTGGAAGGGTTTTGGGGGGGAGAGAAAGTGAGTAGGCGCCACAGATGGGTCTCTGGAGTGGCCAGGCTGGGGGTGGGGGGGGAGCCCGGGAAGCGGGGGCTCCCGAGGGGGCGGCGGTGCGCCGGCTATGGGGTGGGGCAGTGTGTGAGGGGCGGGCGTAAAGAGGCGACGACGGTTCCCTAACTTCTCTCTGGTCTCCGAGACCGGCGGAAGGTTTGAATTCTGGAGGTGGGGTCTGCCTGCTTGCGAGTTTGAGAAACTGTGAGGCGGTTTCGAGGTGTGCTGGTTTGTTTGGGGAGTGTCTGGCAGTGTTTTAAACTGTGACGTGTACTTGGGTGCTGGGCTCGTCTTGAAGGAATGTCTGTAGATGGTAAGTTAGATAGCAGGAGTCGCAGATAAGCGGCCTGGGCTTGGGAAGCATGCGTGAGTCCCGGGCTGGACTTTTGCTCTGTGGACCTTGTGCAGGGTTTGGGGGCGTTCAGCTACTCCTAAGTGTCTGGTGGCCGGCTCACACTCTGTGCCCTGCTCTGGGCCAATATCCACCCCAAACTCCCGGCAGGAGGACTGTACAGATGATGTGATGTGGAGATGCATCTTTGCCTCCTCAAGTCGGCAGCTAAAGGTGGGAAAGGAAAAGTGTTTCTTAATATTTTATTCCGGAACCGTGTTTTGGTTACACTATTGGGGCTACTTTGAAAGGAGTCCTCCGCCCACTTTCACCCCGAAACAGTAAGTAAAGGTATCTTGTCATCTTCATGCTCAGTGGCTTGCCAATTATTTTAAAATTCGGGAACGTGGGGTTGGAAGTCTGGAGTGCTAAACGGCATACTCATCTCTGTCTACCAATGAGACAGAATGTCTGCTGTGTGCCCAGAGGTAGATAGGGCGACTTATTTTCGTAGTTGAAAAAACTGTTGGGAATGATTTTCGGGGAAGAGGCTTGGTGGTGCGCTGAAAGGCGCTGTATGTCTTTTTCTTCTACCCCACCCTGTTCCAGCTCACATTTGCTTGCAAACTGGTATGGAAGAGTGAGGAAGCAAGCATTGGGTGAGTGAAGCAAGGAATGCACTTAGCTATGTAAAGTTGAATGGTAAAAGTGATTGCTATTCTGTCTGAAGCTTTAGAAAAAGACCTCGTGTGTTATAGAGGGTACAGTCACGTGTTCCTTTTTCTGGGGACCTACAGATAATGGAAATCTTTGCCTTCTCCTTTCCTATCTTTTCTTCCCTTCCTTCCTCCTCCCCCTCCCTCCTTCCTTCCTTCCCTGGCACAGAACATTTCTCTTCCTGATGGACATAATACCTCCTGTGCTTTTTTTTTGCTTAGTTTGTGCTAATATGGGTTGTGCTTTTTGTGGTTTCACTATAAAATGCATCATTAAGTGAAAAGGACCCGAATTTGTTGTTATTTTGCATTTATGCCACAAGTAATTATCACATCAGGTTTGCGGTGTTTTGCATTAGACTTATTAAAATTGTACAACTAAGTTGCTAGATCTGGTTGAATTATGCTTATAAATCAAGTTTAGGGAATCTGATTTTATTTTTCAATTTTCAATTAGAGTTGGGATGAAACATCTCTTGTTTCTCACAGTCGTGAATATTTAATGACGTTACACCAGGAGAATTTAAGATCATGCATTTTGTACTCCCTCAGTCCAAAATACAACTTTTTCAATCACCCTCTGACAATTTTGTGGTATCACAGACTTTTAAATAGCCCAAACAGTAATTGGCATCATTTCTATTTCGACTTGAGAATTTAACATATTTATATATTTGGTCAACATGTATCAGTTCTTGAATACATCAGGAAGGGGCTTTTAGATTCCATAGCATCTGAAAGTCACATGGATACACCGGGATTTTATGGTAGTTTAGCTTTTGGTTTGAAATTTTTGCTGTTGATCATTCATACAGATAAGGGGACTGTTAGCATGAAGTTGAGCATTACGTATTTAAATTGACCTGAATAGAATTTCATATACAGAATGTGCTGTTCCAAGCTGAGCCTGGTTTGTTGAAGACCAGGATTTTCAGAATTACTTGTTTTAAGCTTTATCTTAACCCAAAACATTAATTTTCAAACTCTGGGAGAAAATTCCATGTAACAATATTGCTTACTTGTGTTTTTCTGAAATGCATTGTAATAATCATGGAATTCTTAACTGTTTAATAATCATTTTAGACATGACAAACTGAAACTCTCCAGTCTAGAAAAATGAGTGTTTTTTCATCTACTCTTCCTCAAATCTTTTTGTTTATTTTCACCAATGGAAATGTGAAGTTATTTATGGGAAAAGCATTTGTTAAACTTTTTCTGACTAGCAGTCTGGTTAAAAAATGGCTCCATGTACACCAAATATTCCTTGTATTCATTGGGCTGATTCTGTTGCATTTTGAGCACTGGGGCATTAAAATGATGTAAAGCCTTTACTGCAGGCTAACGCATAAAACATTCTCAGCATGTGGAAGTCATATGGTTTACGAAAAAGAGTAGAGAACCAGGGCATTGGTGCCTGTTCAGCTTAAAATTTCATCCTGTAACTGTAAAGACATATTTATTTTAATATGATCATTTCTAAAATATGTGGCCTTTATTACGGGAAGTTGAAAATGCAAGCTGTTTTTTAACCAATCTGCTGCTAGTTCTGTGCAAAGCATATACGGAACACTGTTTTAGTTAGGAAAATGCATTAAGGAAAGGAACCCTTAGCAATGTGTTGAATGCTTTTCCAGAGGCTTTATTTGCACTGCTGGGTGCATTTCATCTTCTAGCCCAAGTAGAAACCTAATATCTCTATTTTTCTAAGTTATAACACACATTGTAACAAAGATCTCATTCTTCTATTCTGGCAATTTTTACTAAGTGTTGGTGGGTATTCTTGCTTGCTTCATTGTATCTTGTATATTAATTTGTTCTTTTTGAGTCTTCCTGAATGTCATATTAGTTCTATCTGTAGTTTCAAAGTTCGTTTGGCTACCTTGTTTCTATCAAAAGCAGGTTTACAGTTGGGTTCATCTATTGCAGCTTTTCTGTTTTTCGTATTCTGTTCTTTAAACTTGGGTTATTTCTCTTGGAAATTACAAATTTATCATAGCATGTTAATTTTCATAACTAGAAGTTGGTGTACTTCTCAACTCTATAAAATGATGAACATTTATAGATCAGTCTTAAAAGCACCTGGTAAAAATGTGCTGGGTTTCGTTTGTTTGTTCCTGCTTTATGTAGGTATTTTGGTTTCCAGAATCTTAATATTCTGTTCTTCGGCTAGATTTTTCTGTTAACCATGGATTTTTCTTCTTTTCAATTTAGTACAACTTTATACTGTTATGGATAAAAAGCATAGCATATTCGTATCATATATGAATATGTTATATGTGCATATCCATATATGCAGTCAAATTTATATGATGTGTGTGTGTGTGTGTGTATCATACCTACAACCATGAAAACAAATCTGACCTACAAAAGAGACCAAAGAGTAACCACCGTTCATACTGTCCACATTATAGAAACTTTGGCCGTTTCCTTATCATTGTAAACCATCATTTTAACAGATTCTGCCAAAATATAGTTCTCTCAAATGTCAGCCTGTCAGACTGACATTTTTCTCCAGCTAGTACTAAATAATTAGTGTGTGACTCAGATTCCTAGACACAGCTGTGCCCAAGATGGCCTTCACTCAGACTGAGAACCCATCCATCATAGGTGCAGAGTAGAGACTCTCTCAGTGATTATCTGATGTAAAACTTGTAGGTTTTAGTTACTCACTGTTTGTGGACTCTTCTGATGTAGGGATGCTTTATGGGTTTATTTTAAAAAAATATTTGTGAACAAAAGATAAAAAATTGTAATTTAAGTGATTTATGAAGAAGTGGGTTAGCTTTGTTGTTATGGGCTTTAAAAAAATTTTTTTTTCCTATTAAGACAGGTGCACAAAAGGATAAAGTGTTTGTTGAAGAAAAAAAAAAAAAAAAGGTGCACCTGACTCTTTTTTAGTGATAAAATGATTCTAGTCCATTCTGAGGCCATTTAGATTTTCATTAGGCTGTTGATTATGATTAAAATATTAACTGGACATATGTCCTGGCTGGGTTTTTTGTCACTGTGACAGAGGTTGTGGTTATATGGGAAGAGGAACCTCAATTGAGAAAATACCTCAATCATATTGCCTGCAGGGCATTTTCTTGACTACTAATTGATAAGAGGAGGGTCCAGTTTACTATGTGGGTAATTCCATCTCTGGACAGGTAGTCCTCCAAAGTCTAGAAAGCATACTAAGCAAGCCATGAGGAGCAAGCCAGCAATCAGGCCCCTCTATGGTCTTAGCTTAGTTTTCTACCTCCAGCTTCCTGTTCTACTTGTGTGCCTACCTTAGTTTCCCTGAATGACGGACTGTGATGAGGGAATGTAAGCCAAAGAAACCCTTTCTTCCCCAAGTTGCTTTTAGTCATGGTGTCTTTATCACAGCAAACTAAGGCAATATACTTGGTAGTTCTGCCCATCTTTTGTACAGAGACCCATAGGTGATGTATTAGAAACATGAATGAATTTTGTGTTTAAGGAGCAGTATGGAGGTGCAAAGGAAGAGTGACTTTAATGAATATATGTGGTGGTATTGTGTTCCCCAAAATATTGTGCACCCTAATAAACTTATCTGGGGTCAGAGACAGAACAGCCACTAGATACAAAGGCTAGAAAATGGTGGTACTCACACCTTTAATCCTAGCATTCCAGAGGCAGAAATCCATGTGTTCAAGGATCCAGCCAGGCATGGTGACTCACGCTTTTAATCCCAGAAAGCAAGCCTTTAATCCCAGGGAGTGGTGGTAGAAAGCAAAAAGGTATATAAGGCGTGAGGACCAGAAACTAGAAGCATTTGGCTGGTTAAGCTTTTAGGTTTTGAGCAGCA